CCCCTTCCTCCTCTCCACTATTCATTATCACTTATTTTCTATCCCCTTCCCCTGTTGCTAATCTGCTTTTCCCCTTTGTTTTCATGTCATTATCGCTTTCATTCGGTTTTTTCGCCTTTAGTGTCCCCCCCCCCTTTCTCCCCTTCCCCTTCCCCTCTCGATGACTTCTTTTTTCCTTCTCTCTTCACCTCCCTCGCCTGTCTCACCCCTCGGAGACCACGAAAGCCAGTGTTTCTTATTTCACAAGTACTTCAACCTGCCCTGTGCCCGACATTGACAAAGTAACCGTAGAACACGCTAATCTGACCCTTATTACTATCATACATTTTCAATGTTTTTATTCTGTTGTCTTCAAGTATAAATATGTCCTGTTTATACTGAAAATGTTTCTTATAAAATGCTTGATCTAAATCACTATGTATGTAACTGATTTTACTATTGATATTCAAGTGTTTCATGAACACTCAGTAATTCTGTCCCCTAACCACCAGATGTAAGGTTGTTAAAACATACCGATATCATGTCAACCATATACCCTTGTTCCTCTCCACGAACGGTCATGTGAACCAATGTTTCTGAATTTATGTTCATCCATATTCTTTCATGTTTTTCCATTGTATATTGTTTAAAAACGAACTTCGTCCATGGCAATTCCTGTGCCATACTCTTAGACCGGTCGCCCTCGTGGGCTTGGCAGGACGCGCTCCTCCCTGGGCACCTGCCTTGCCCTCTGTACCAGTTACCCAGAATAAAGACAAGAAAACTGCGACAAGTTTAACTGCACCAACATCTTCAGAGTACTCCAGTACGTCAGCACCTTAGTTACTACTGCCTTACCGCTCGACCACGCTCTACCAAACTACAAGTAATAATAGTGGAGGGAGTGGGACATCGCCTCCCACTTCATATATTACACCGCTACACTGCTGCTGCGTTCAGAACACCTTGCCTTGCTCGTCCGGACAACCTGTCAGAACGAGCAGGACGAAGAGGCCGCCGGAACTCTCCGGGGCCGTCATTACCCACAATGCATTATCGTACCAGTCTTTATTTTCTACACTGCATAGGTTTATAGTCACTGTGATCCCAGAGCCTCTCTCCAACACTAAAACACTAAATAACTTTTGATAACAACGATTACCATTAATTTCTGGTTACCCGCAACTTTTAATGTTTATATAGAAACGCTGTTGTGACGAGAGGAACAAGAGGTCCAGGACGACAAAGTAGGGTTCCGAACGGTCGAAACTCTTGTACAACTTGTTGGAAGGAAAGTTTCGAACGCTAATTAGACATCGGACAGCGAGTCTCTCGTCTCTCTCTCTCTCTCTCTCTCTCTCTCTCTCTCTCTCACTCTCTCTCTCTCTCTCTCTCTCTCTCTCTCTCTCTCTCTCTCTCTCTCTCTATATATATATATATATATATATATATGTGTGTGTGTGTGTGTGTGTGTGTGTGTGTGTGTGTGTGCGTGTGTGTGTGTGTGTGTGTGTGTGTGTGTGTGTGTGTGTGTGTGTGTGTGTGTGTGTGTGTGTAATCATTATCTATTTCCTATTTCCTCCATGTCTCTAATTCTGAAACGCTTCTTTCGCTCTACAAAGTAATAGTAAATTTAAAAAGAAAAGTAAATAGAAAAAATTATAATACGTTGAATATAATCGTTTATTGACTTATTTACCTTATTACCTTATATCTTTATTTCATTTTTATTTTAGATGTCCGTCATAACCTTGCGTGATCGTGAATGCTGTGAAAGAAGTTCTCATACTGTGATTCAGAAACGCCCAATATCATCAGAGCCTTCAAGGAGAAAGGCGGAAAGGAGATGGAAGAGGAACACGAGAAACTTGCACAGGTTAGTGGAAAGAGAAAAATAGGTGAAGGGAGGAAGGGAAGGGTGAGAGAGAGAGAAGAGAGAGAGAGAGAGAGAGAAGAATAGGAATAGGGAGGTGAGGCAGAAGAGAAAAGGGAAAGGAAGAGGGGGCGATGTGTGGAGGGAGGGGAAGGAGAATGAGGAAAATGGAGTAAGGAAGGAAGAGAAAGCACGAATAGGGGGAGAGAAGAGAGAGAGGAAGGACGGGAGAGATGCAGGGAGGGAAGAGTGGAGAAAAAGGAAAAGAGATGGAAAGGGAGAGGGAGGGCAGAAGGGAAGGGAAAGAGAGGGATGGATGATTGGATAGAGGGAAGGAGGGGAAAGGGGATTGGAGGAGGAGGGGAAGGGAGGGAAGGAGGAAGAAGGGAAAGGTATGAGAAGGGAGAGAAATGGAGGAAGAAGGGAAAGGTATGAGAAGGAAGAGAAATGGAGGAAGGACGGAAAGGGAAAGAAATGGATGGATGGAGAGAGGGAAGGGTGGATGGAGGGAGGGAAGGGAAGGGAAGGGTAGGGGGAGGGAGAGAGGGAGGGAAAAAGGCGAGGAAAGGAAAGGAAGAGGCAAAAGAATGAGGGAGGGGGGTAAAGCGAGGAAGAAAGGGTAAGGAAAGATAGGGGGAGGGAATGGAGGGGAGAGGAAGGAAAGAAATAGAGGAAGGAAGGGAAGGAACGAGAATGGATGGACGGAAGGAGTAAAGAGGGAGGGAGAAAGGGTAGTAGAGAGTAAAGGAGGGAGGGAAGAAGGAGAGATGGGACGGAGGAAGGAAAGGCGGAAGGGAGAGCAAGGAGAGAAGAGATAGAGCGAGGGAGGAAGGGAGGTTAAATGGAAGGGTAGGAGGAATAAAGGGAAGAAGGGAAGGAATAACGAGCTAGGGTGAGAAGAGAAGGATGAAAGAAAGAGAGAGGGAGAAGCTGGGAAGAAAGGAGGGAGGAAGGGAGGGAGTCATTGAGTGAGTGAATGAGAATGAAGAAGAGAATGAGAAAGAGAGAGATAGTAGAAAAGAGGGAGAGTGAAGAGAGAGAGAGAGAGAGAAAGGGGAATGGAGAGGGGGAAAGAGAACGAGAGAGATGAGGAGAGAGAAAGAGAGGGCATGTAATACATATCACACACACACACACACATATACATGAATATACATGTCAATAATTGTGCGATTGAGTTTATATAACAGAATGTACTTCACTTAACAGACATGTGCGCCCTTCGGAAGGAACAAGAGCGGACTTCAGAGACCATCAATGCCTTGTTGAGGTGAGACAATAATGATTTATATTAATTATTGTCAAAAAGAAAGTTTACGCAGGACATAGGTAAAAGGAATATACTTTTCCCTGTTTTCCTTTTACGTATATTTGTATTTTGTTCTCTCGCCTCCTCCTTCTTTTTTTTTCTTCGTTTTCTGATTTTCCAGCTCCTCCTCTCCACTTTTTCCTCCTCCTCCTCCTCCGTTCCTCCTCTTCCCCTTCCTCCTTCACTACCTTGTGCTGCAGACCATTTTCCTTTCAATTTTTCTTTAAATAATAGCTGCGAATTCATCTCCAGTCGCTAAATCTACCTTCGTTGTTTTGCAGAGCCAAGAAAGATTTTACAAAACCCTCAAGCTGCTGATGAGACCGCCGACAGCGCTAGATAGCCTGCCGTCAGGGACTTCGCGAGACCTGCAAGAGAGCATTCGCGACGTCTTGGGTCAAGGAGGCCTCCGCCAGGACTCAGGCGCGCGTGTGCACGAGGCAAGGCGGCTTTTTGTGTTTGTTTTGTTCGTCTAATTCTGTCCTCTTGTCCTTTTCTTTGTGTTGGTTTATAGGTATACGGTATATAAAAAAACAAATACAATTAAAGAATCAAACAGGCACATGTACTGCATGTACAATACATGCATGTTAATAGCAACTTTTTTTTTCTAGGGAAATGTTTATTCATCAGATCAGCATAATGAGAACAGCTCTGAAAACCAGGTAATGTTCATTTAGAAACATTTATAGCAACTTCCATATGGTTTGCATCTTTGTAGGTTTAAAAGGTAGCAATAGTATCGTTGTACGTATTTTTTTTTCTTTGGAAATAAATAAAAAATGGCGAATGGGAGAAATCTGTGAACGATATGCAAATATCTCGTTTAATCTTTTGGGGGGCATTAGCTGATCGAAAATAAAATTTGAAGAATTCACTTATTCTATCGTTTTAACTTTTGCTTATTTTTTTTCTCATAATAGGAAGAAATACAACAAAAATACGTTTTTCAGTGCTTCAGAACAGAATGAAACCAGTTCGACAACAGTAACTGTCCTGAGCCCTCGACGGCACATACCCATGTGTTTCTTTTCCTTTTTAGCTTATAAAAAGTTCTAACTTCAAATAGCTATTTAAAAAAAAAAAAAAAAAAAACTGACATAAAAAAATGTTTGTGATAGTAAACCGAAAGCCATTAGAACTGATTAATGCCTGACAATTATAATTTTACAAACCTTTACCAGTTCATTCGATGGCGTAGATAAGATAATGTCCCGCGAAACATCAAAACTGTTGCTACAAATCCGACCGCCTTCCACCTGCTTGCCTTCATTACTGCATAATAATCCTATAAAAGACCTTAAAGACCATTTCGATCTTGTCCTGCATCGAGCCATATAGGGAAATGCTTTTCACAAGCTCATGACAACTAAAGTCACGTCACTTTAAATCCCTCCATTATGTAGTAATGGCTGAGAATTAGCCTTCTCGTGTGTGCTTCCGCTGTCAACCACTCTCTAGTCTTTAGCTAACATGAATGTTTTTCATTAATGGAGAACTGCCAGATAAAGTTACGGCATGTATTAAAAGACCCTCGCCTGAAACGCACAAAATCAGACGAAATATGAGGCGACTTAAGGCGCTCTGATAACTGCATGCGAGCTCCACCCGACAGAGGCAAGGGCCATCAACGATCGTCGACTCCGCCTCAAGGGCCTCGCCCCTTTGGGCTCATCCTTAATACGGCGCGGTCGTATTGAGGATGAGCCGAGGTCGGGCACGTCCGTAGCTTCCCACCTTTTGGGAACGCACGGAGATCACCCCCAGAGGCCTCGTCTTGCGGAGACTCCTTTCGGCTGCAGTTCCCCCTGACAGATTTACCTGCCTGTGGCGCCCAGC